GACATGTGTAAAAGCAGGAGTATATGTACATTTCTAGGGTGACCACAGGGTGGGGGAAAAATCCCAGAGGCATTGACAGGGATCACTTGGGGATCCCTCCTGTTAAATCTGGGATCCAGAGGTTGCAATTAGAAGTGGAGAATGAGAAAAAAAATTCAAGGAGCCACTGAGTTGGTGGCAAAGGAGAGAAAGAGTGTGTACTCTTCATTGCAGAAATAAATCTTCCTTGTCTTTTCTGCTTGAGACATTATTGAATAAATACTCAGATTCTAGCACCACTAATTCTAGGGAAGAAGAAGAGGAGTGAGGAAACAAAGGAGAGCAAATGTAGAGAAGAGCAGGCAGGCTCCCTGAACTAAGGAGGAATCAAAGAGGACCTGCCCATTGCTCTTTGAAAACCCCTCGCTTCCTGATGATTGCCCCAGGAAGCCAAGGGGGAGGTTCTCCTGGTAGCTAGAAAAGAGGGCAAAATAAAAATAAATCAGAGGACCCAGCGCTACTGACAGCCACCACCTGGCCAGGATTCCTTCTGTTCTGCCTCCATCATTCAATCTACTGTATGACCTGGCATTACCCTTTAGACAGGGATTCCTGGAAAACTGGAAATGCATAAATATTGACATGGAGCCCCATAAGCATGGGTTGGAGTGTCACCAAAAGGGCACAGAGAAGGGCAGGCACCAGTCTGTAGGCCCTTATTCAGATGTGGAGCGTGTGTGTGGGGAAAACAATGCATGTCCTTACTTTCCATCTGCAGTGGTGCCTCGCAAGACTAATGCCTCGTGGGACGAAAGACTCACAAGATGAATGGTTTTGGCAATGGGGTTGATGACTAGCAAGACAAATGTTCCTATGGCCGTGCTTCACAAGACAAATGTTTTCCGTTTTTTGGTTCCTGCCTCATGTTTGCTGATTTTTAAATTTTTACATTTATTTATTTTATTTATTTTTTCCTACGATGTTTAAAAAGTTAAAGTTTTTTATTGAAGTTTTTGAAATCATCTGCACAATATGTATGGCTTTAAAGAGCACTTAATAAACCCTTTGTAAACCAAAGTTGGCTTTGTTCTGAGGTTTTTTGCCCATAGGAATGAATTAATTAGATTTCAATGCATTCCTATGGGAAAACGTGTTTCAGAAGATGAATTTTTTGTAAGATAACATTAACCGCGGAGCAAATGAAATTCGTCTTGCGAGGCACCACTGTACATCTGTTCTTAGCAGCTGAAATCCTACTCCACTTGGTGTCACGTAAAGCTATGCATGCAGAAATTTACAGGGAGCTTATACCTGGGCAGTTTACATGGGGGTGTCTGACTGTACATCCAATTTTGTTCAATTGATTGTGCTACTACCTGTACAATTGCACCTGCCTGGTATACTATGATGTCCACCCTGGTGTGAATTTCTGATTCACTTGGGCTAGTGCGATTAATCCAGGAGTAGCTTCACAACAGGATTTGGGCCAATTAGTATTTTTCTCCCCTGTGCCTGCCCAATAGGGTTGTGGGCCCTGTGAATTAGTGTCCCCTCAGAAATCCTATAGTCAACAATCCTGTTCAGCACAGCTTACACTACTAATGACAGACCTTGATAGCAACAGTCAAGACCCCCATGTACCTCCATTCTGATAAAGAAAAATCTTGGGCACCAATGCAGAGACCTGCTTAAACAGCACAGATTTATTGATACTACCTCTGACTAGCCTGCCTGATGTCCAAAAAAGGAAGACACTTGCGATAGGCTACAGGTGTTAAAAAAAGAAAGACAGCATTAGGTATTCTCCTCTAATCTTGTCTGTGGAAAGATGAATCTGTCCAATTTAATCAGCAATGGGCCTTGTCCTCATTTGTTATTTTCAAGCCTGGCTTACATAACCTTCAGGTATTTATTTTTCTTTATATATTCAATAATTTAAAAATGCTTTAAAAAACTACAAAACCATTAAATATGGAGTGGTAAAAGGAAGAGGATGATAGTGTGTTGAAACCAAAGTTGATGAAAATTAGATGCTGTTCATCTTCTGTAAGCCATAGGGAGCTTTTCGTCCATGTCTTCCTATATCAGGTCCGGCTTAATTAAAATCAGTCTCCGCTGGGAGTCTTAAAGTACAAAACAGGAATGAACAGTGTTGTGTGCTCTTTATGACTTTTTTCTAATTATCTGAAAAATCATTTGTACCACCAGATAGGTTTCTAGATGTAAATTTAGACACCTCTACCCACGAAGGACCTATTCCTTTGGAAGCCTCAGTGAAATGAAAACAACTTGTATGTCTTTCATTCACGGCCTTGAAGGGAAAGTTCCCATGGGTTCATCCTGTTAACACAACCTAGAAATCTAGGAAATATTTTCTTCATGACAAAATGCAGTGAACTGCTTTTACAAGAACATTGCTCCATAGACTCTGTCAGCATCTATGTGTAGAATCAGAGTTTGGAACAGTATGTTTTTTAAAATGCACTCAATCAGTTATTCACTACTTTGGATCAGGAGTGGTCCATTGCTATTAAAGTTACCTCATGTACCAAATTCACTTATTCTGCTGTTCATTGGTAGAGCATCACCATGTCCGTTACTGATACAGCTAGTGGAAAATTACATAAAAATACATACTAGTTCTGTCAAGTGGCCAGTTCTGTTTTTAGCACAATGAACACATAGTGGCAAGCACATTACAAAGCAAAGCTTCTTTGGACACTTTCTCCTCCAAGGTGCCTTCAATGGCAAACACCCCGATCCAAAGAGTAATCAAACACATTGAGAAAATGCCTGGTTGTCTGGACTTCTATTGGCATGCATTTCTTATGAATATGAATTCAACGAATACATTGAACCATCATACAACTCCATACAACTCCATTTAACTGACATTTTACTGAGTATATTCAACCAGCTGAACATCAGCTGGTGCAGCATTGAAAGGTGCAGAGATGGGCATTCCGTTTTATTTTTGTCTCCCTTCCTTTTCCTCCAGCCACTACGACAAAGCCCCCCAAAGGCAGCCACTGAGATAGGAGGGGGGGACAGAGTTGTATTTGATTCCTTTTTAAAAAGCCAGGGTTGAGGATCTACTCTTTTACACTTTTCTTCCTTTCTCTCTCTCCACCTGCCATTCCTCTTCCTGGAATCTAAAATTAATGTCCCTGTGGCCATAGACTTTGCTGATGGAATTAAGGACTTTGCAGGAGGAAAGGGAATCAGTTCTGCGGGACACTGTACGGTTACTGATACAACCAATGCATCAGTAATACTAATGCATGCAAATATTTATGGTTTCCCTTAAGTGACCGGTTCTGCTTTTGTGCACATTGAAAATGGAGTGCAAACACATCACCAAGCAACACTCTCCTTTTCACCAGTTCCTCTTTTTTTCCTTCCCTTTTCCCACTTCTGATTCTTACTCATAAACACCAGACATAAAATGAGGCATTCCTTCCATCCTCTTAGTGCCCACTGGCTCTTTGACCTGCCCAGGGTCCTCCAGAAATGCAGAAATGCCCATGATTCAATTCATATTTACACACCTCTTGGAAGACAGTACTCATCTCTAGTAAATATAACGACTGTGCTATCATGATTAGAAGCTGCCAATGGATAATGAATGTTTCTGAGTTATTTCCCTCTTCAATCTCCCACTACTTTCTCTTCTCAAAGAGCTGGTTTTGGTTCGGTGATTCCAGCAACGCTGTCACATGGCAATGGGCTGTTGCTACCACAAACTTCCACCTATGAAGGCACTATCAATGGCGAATGTTTCTCAGCTAGTGCAGTCGGTCATAACTCACTGAAAGCGTTTTCTGAAACTTCTCATGACCTGCTCACCTCAAGAGAGAGAAAAAATGTGATGCTGTCAAACTGGCACTATGAGCCTGTGTAGCGAAAGCGATCTTTTCAGGGCTCTGTAGCTGCAGATGGCAATGAAACGTTGCAGTCTGCAGCCCATTTCTCTGGATTATTGTTGCTCCTGCCATTTCTAAAAAGTTATGGCTGTGTTGATCTGCTCTTTGATGGCGATGCCATCCCTTCTGTCTTGCAAAAGGATAAGTAAAATTTCAAGTCTGAAAAAGACAGCCATTCCTCATATTCTATAACCCTGTTGTTTTTACGGTGCATTCTTCCCTTTTGTTACCTCTGTTTTAAAACAACATTTAAAAAATACATCATTCAGCCACCAAATGGCATTACCGATGCCACCAGCAGAGCGTTGGTGATGTTGAGCACAATACTGTAGTTTCCCATGTCTTTCAGAGTGAAGTGGAATGTGTCTAAGCTCTCTATCAAGTGTGCTTACATTGCACCAGAATCCTCCCTGATTCTGCTGGGTACTTTGGAGTAAGGATGCAAGAAATACCTACAAATATGCTCATACTAGTTGAAGACAGATGTCTCAGAACATATTTACATACACACATATATACTGTTACCCGCAGTGTATGATGAGATTATTCCCTCCTAGATGAGAGCACAAAAAACAGGACTTTTTTAAAATCAGTACTAACAAAAAAACGGGGGATTTTTTCTCCAGAAAGACTTGTATTTTGAGGAAAACATCTATTTTATAGATATTTTAAAAACCCTTTAAAAAAATCTTTTTATGTAACAGGCATGCTTATGCAAAATAAAATGATTTTTTGCGGAAAATAGAGGTTTTTGCACAAAACAAGTTCCCAAAATGTTCATGAAAAGAGTAAAAAAAAAAGAAAAAGCAGAACGTTCTCTTGTAACAATACGCAACAGTGAGAAAAACTTTTTGTTTCCATGGCAAGAACAAAATTAGTGAGCATTCACATCCCTGCTCTAGAGTATTCTGTCGATGTACATTACACTCTTTGCTTTTATCTGTGGCCCTCTTTCTCAGAGTAGACATTAGCAGGGGTGCACCCTACGAAAGCAAGCAAGCAAGAGGGGGTGTGACCAAAGGAACAAGAAATCGCAGTTGAATTGACATGGAATAACAAAAGCAAGTTGGAAGAGAGTCAGTTTTTGGCCATATTTACCATTAAGGCTGCTTCTGTCGATCAGGTTTGTGTCGACGGGCCAGTAGGCCCCATCTCCATGACGACCTGTGAAAAGGAAAAGGAACATCAGAACAGAAATGGCCAATATGCTTGATCTGCACTGAGCCAAGGCAGGCCCAGAGGTTCAAAGAGCATCAGTCTGCGGTTTAAGCCATTAGATATTGTGAGAGGCAACTGTATGTCTATATGAGGGGGAGAAAATCCTGTCATAAAAGCAGCTTTTCTGAACTAAAATCTTTGATACTTTGACTCTCCCCCTCACTCCCTGCCATCCCTTTGCTCTTCTTGCTAGTTAAAAACTGACAAAATAAGGCAAAGCTTTGGGTACCAGTCAGAAAATTCTCTCTCAGAAGGTGACAGATCCGACAGTTATTTCATGCTTTGTGTGACAGGCACAGTGTTGGATGCACTCATTTTCCAGTAGTCCATGTTCTCTCATCGCTCTAGTCTTGACATTTCTTTCAAGTACAAGCAAATTATATTATACTACCAGGTGAGATATTATCTCATTTAGCACCTAGATACTTATGGGTTTATTTTTCTCGGCATATGGGGTCCTGAAGAATGATAGCCCTTGGAGCACACTCTGATGCTACAGGGGTTAGCCCTTGAACACTTCAAGTCCAAACCTGACCATACAATGGATAATACATGGCCTAGCTTTGCAAATCTTTAGGCCAGAAGGCTGTACAGAGATTAGAGATGCAACAATGACATTTGGTTTTAATTGCCTTAGGGGCCAAGAACAATATTTTCTCCCTTGCTTAGAACAAGCTTCCTAGTAAAACCAGTTGTTTCTTGTTGGAGGAAGTTTTGGCAACTTTTTTACTTGGTGGAGCATAAAGTACAAAATACTACCTGCAGCATAGGGCAGAAATGTGAAGGAGAACAGTTTAAAGGCCCAGATTTCACCCACATCTTTTTTTATTACAATGACTAGCCCTTTGCATATAGAACCCACTCTACAAGTATTTTAAAAAAAAACATCTTTACTTACAGCTGTGGAACTTCAGTTATAATCAGAAGAATAAAAAGGATAAAGAAAGAAATTTCAGTCTCATCTTGGGAGACTGAAGTATGACCTCATGGTCAGAGGTCATGAGCAGACAATTTACATGTCTGCTGAGATCAAAAGTGAGAGAGGAAGAGAGAGAGGGAAAACAAACAAACAGGAAGAGGGGAGGGGTTTTCCCCAAGCCAGGGGAAGAAACGGATTCTGCCAATTGGTTAGTCAAGGCATAATTATGTTAGGCTCGGAAGTCCTCTTCCTACTGATACATAGTATTAGGTTGCATGCAAGATTGCTATTTCCTCCACAACTTTGCATGCCTGTTTTTTGTTTGTTTGTTTTTTGTGGGGTTTTTTTGCAGTTTGAAATAGTTTCATCAGGAAAAACAGTACAAGGGGGAAAGGTTGTCCTACTCTCTCCTAGAAATAACAGTCTTAATCTAATGACTCACCTCCCACCAATCCATGATTGCATATTTATAAAAACATAAAGCAATGAAGGATTGCTGCTTTTCGACATCCCAGCTAGCTGGCCTATCACACTTTGACCATTTCTTGTGTTGGTCTAAGTTAGAATCATAGAATCACAGAGTCGGAAGAGACCACAGGGGCCACTGAGTCCAATTCCCTGCCATGCAGGAACACCATCTAAGCACTCCCGACAGATGGCCATCCAACCTCTGCTTAAAAACCTCCAAAGAAGGAGACTCCACCATACTCTGAGGCAGTCTATTCCACTGCCAATCAGCTCTGACTGTCAGGAAGTTCTTCCTGAGATTCAGGTGGAATCTCTTTTCCTGTAGTTTGAAACCATTGTTCCGTGTCCTTGTGTCTGGAGCCGTGGAAAGCAAACCTGTCCCTTCCTTGACATGACATCCCTTCAAATATTTAAACATGGCTATCATGTCCCCTCTTAACTTTCTTTTTTGTAAGGCTAAACATTCCCAGCTCCCTAAGCCGCTCCTTGTAGGGGCTTCCAGACCTCTGACCATTTTGGTCGCCCTCCTCTGGACACGTTCCAGGTTGTCAACATCCTTCTTGAACTGAGGTGCCCAGAACTGGACACAATGCTCCAGGTGAGGTCTGACCAAAGCGGAATAGAGTGATACTATCACTTCCCTTGAACTGGACACTCTACTCCTATTGATGCAATGAAGAATCACATTGGCTTTCTTGGCAGCCGCATCACACTGCTGACTCATGTTCAGCTTGTGGTCTACCAAGACTCCTAGATCTCTTTCACAGGTACTGTTGTCTAGCCAAGTGTCTTCCATCCTATATCTGTGCAGTCTGCCTAGGTGTAGGACCATACATTTTTTCTGCCTAGGTGTAGGACCATACATTTCTCCCTGTTGAAATTCATCTTGTTAGTTCTGGCCCAGGATTCTCATCTGTCAAGGACATTTTGAATTTTAATCCTGTCCTCTGGGGAATTAGCAGCCCCTCCCAATTTGGTATCATCTGCAAATTTAATCAGCATACTCTCTGTTCCTTCGTCCAAGTCATTGATAAAGATGTTGAATAGCACAGGGCCCAGAACAGAGCCCTGGGGCACCCCACTAGTCACCTCTTTCCAGGATGAAGGGGAGCCATTTGTGGTCACCCTTTGTGGGTTCGGTCAGTCCACCAATGACAAATCCACCAAACAGTAGCACCATCTATCTCACATTCTACTAGCTTCTTTGCAAGAATATAATGGGGAACCTTGTTGAAGGCTGTACTGAAATCAAGATATGCTATATCCACAGTGTATTTATCAATCTAGCAAGACTGTAATTCTATATAAAAAAAAGAGAGATTAGTCTGGCATGACTTTTTTTTTTTTTTGAGAACAGCAAAGATGGGGCCAGTCTGGCCTTGTGTGGGAAGGAGTTCCAGAGTCTGGGAGGAGTGACAGAGAAGGCCCTCTTTCATATCCCCACCAAACACATCTGCTGTATATTCTGCGTTTCTTGGGGGTTGGGGCTGTTTTGGGATGTGTAGGGGCAGGGCTGTGGACATTGTTGCTGAGCTAATGTGTGACAAGGCAGTGTGGGAGGATGTTGTTGACTTGAGTCATTTTCTCATTTTTTTTTGGTCGCTTTGGTGTGGCCCAGATAACTAGCAATGCTTGGATGGCTGCTTCCTTATATATTTTTTTCTATTGTGCCGCCAAGGCCCAGAAAGTCTGTTGTGTTGGGTGGGTGGCACTAAACTCATACTGTTGCCTTTCTTTTCTTTTCTGTTTTCTTTTTTTTGGGGGGGGAGGGGGATTTACTGCTTCTTTCCTCTGTTGATTCTCCTTTCTCATCTGTATCATGGCCTGCTTTTGGTGGAGAATGACTGTCTGGTGCCTTATCTTAGTCTTTTTAAGATTATTTTTAAAAAGATTTTTATGGCTTTTAGAGTGCCAGAAACATGAACAAGGAAGCACAAAACAAATTACACAAATAAGGCAAGTCCCTCTTGTGTAAAAAGAAAGGGAGCGGGATACAAAAAAACATGAAAATGAAAGATACCCGCCCCAAAGAAACCAAAACAAGAGAAACATGAAAAATTTCAGCACGTACATCTCTAGTATGGTGTTCTCAGTGTTCTTTTTATAAAAGGAACAATATAATTAGAATTAAACTAGAATTAAAATAGCTGCAGTAATTGCATGTAATTATTGTTTCATATTACGTTACAAATAAACTTGTCACTTTTAATTGTCAAATAAACTTGACAAATTGTCCAGGCCTAGGCATTAGATTCAAATTCCTAATTATTCCTCTGCTATCCATAGCTTTGCATGTGAGGGTCATTGCCTTGTTCCTTGCCTCAGACAAATGCATCGAATGTATTCTAAGAAAGCTGCTTAAAATAGATATTAACCCCAAATAACTAATCAGTCGACTTCCACCATGATTTTTGGAATTACTTCCTGGTGCCTTGCATGTACAGACCAAGAAAGGAAAGACAGCCCATTCTCATCAAGGATTTTCTGTTATTATGAATATTTTAATATCTCATTATGAAAAAAAAGAGGGCTGCTCCAAGCAGCTGATCTGTCAATGACACAATTTCCTGTGGTTTCTTGGACATACCAGGCCCTCCATTATGCTCGGAAGTATAAATGTACACCATGAAGTGAATTCAGGAGAGACCCAGCAAGCAGGTTATGCTTTCTCGGGAAGACCTAACATAGCCCTTGAGAAAGAGAATGTTAAAAGATAGGGCCACATTTCATTTAGAAGAGGTGCCTGCAGCCTAGGTATGTTTGAAATTATTCCTCTTTACCACTTTGCCTATCAATGCACGAAGTGCTTCAGTATGAAAGGCACAATTAGGAACGTAAGGTCATTATCATCACAGGAGCTTTCAGCATAATCAACTTCTCAATCAAGTTAATTGCAGAGCCATTGGCATTTGATCCTTGGGAAAAAAAGAGTAAAGTTGTACAGTGTTGAGTCATAACAATTAGAAATCGCGAGCAAATTGGCCCTTTGGTACCTGCATGCCGAAGGTGGTGGTGTTCTGTTTTTGTTTATATTTTTGTTCATATCGATTACATTGAAGTAATATTCCAGCCATAGCTTGCACCTTTTACAGCACTTTCATATATATATATTTCCTCCACCAGGTTTGAAGCAAAATGAAGAAAGTTATGGCTAGCAAAAATAGTCGTAATCTAATCTACCAATAGATGCCCTTGGTGGTGTCCCTTTGCTACGGTAGGATCAAGCGTCACCTCATTATACAGAAACAAGACTAGAGCTGGCTCAAAACAGTGGCATCAAAAAGGTATATATTTTTTGCATCTTCTTGATGTGTCACTCAGTCCCTCTATACTTGCTGTGTGTTTGTTATGTCGAGCAAATTGGCCCTTTGGTACCTGCATGCCGAAGGTGGTGGTGTTCTGTTTTTGTTTATATTTTTGTTCATATCGATTACATTGAAGTAATATTCCAGCCATAGCTTGCACCTTTTACAGCACTTTCATATATATATATTTCCTCCACCAGGTTTGAAGCAAAATGAAGAAAGTTATGGCTAGCAAAAATATGTTGGTCGTAATC